AGCAGCAGTCGCCATTTTCGGTAGTTTAGGGGAGAGAGGGGGGAAGTGAGGAGTGAATGCGGGTTTTTTATGATGTTTTTGAGATGGGGTTTTTTATTTCTTTGACGAAGAGAGATATTATTATTGGGTGGAGGAGGTTGGATTGAGAGGATGGGGGAGCTGGGGATAGATAGAGGATGACGAATGTGGACGTTTTGTTTTGCGGGGGTTCTTTTGTTGTTTTCTGTTCATACCCACGTAGCCCTTCGGTTCGCTCCCTCCGGCTATTTTTGCGATTTCCTAAAATCAAATTTCGAAGTGTATCTACCCTTCTGTACTTATACACAGGAGGTCCAAAGAATCATTATTAACTACCGTAGCCTGAGCAATAAATCAACCTCCGACTTCCAAGTTCCAACCACCACTGTGCCGTCAACAGTAACTCAAGTCGGGCCTCATATTTTTTTATTAAAGTTATTGTTTATGCTACAATGTATTACTGTAATATAAATAGTAAATCAAATCAAATATATTAAAACTTAGATCATCCTCTATGCATAAAAGAGTAGATATGATTAATATCAAATATATTAAAACTTGGATTCTTCTTTAAGTACAGAGGAGTAGATATAATTTCTAACTTTAAGTATACAATAATCAAATTAAATATATTAAAACTTAGAGGGAGATAAGTTTAAAATGTAATACTTAAAAAAATAGGGGGTCGTGCTTTGCACGGTGTGCACACTAATCAGCACTATTTATCTTGATTGGTTCTTCTCCATTATTAATATTGATATAATTCTGACAAGTAGTATCAGATCTATGATTGCAGTATTAGACTATGGTCGTAAGGTTAGTACAGGACACTATCAAGTTTGGGATTTTCCTTGCATGCATATAAAAGACGTCTACGGTCTACCAATATGTTCATGAGGATTTCAAGATGTGAAGTTACGAATATAATAAAATTTGAGATAAGAAGTTCAACATTTTTTTTTCTCCCTTTCAAATATATTTAAAAACACTTCGCTAAAGGAGGATTAGTAAGATTAGGCATTAAAATGATCTAAAGGAGGTCATACGTGTAAACTGAAAACAATTAGCTAAATGAGGATTTAGTAAGGTTAGGCAATAAAATGATCTAAAGGAGGTTATACATGTAAAAGTAGGCAAATTGATGTAAAAGTAGGCCTGAGTGAAAGATGTTGCAGTAGAAGTTTTATCATGTGTTATACACCTATAATGCGGCAATAAATGATGAAATTTTGTTTTTTACTTCCTCTCTCTCTCTCTCTCCCTCTCTCTCATTTTTCTGTCTCTTAGGGGCTGTTTGGTTCATTTCCAAAAAATTATGGAAATGGATTCCCACACAAGAAACCAATTCTGTAAAAATTTTAGGATATCAAAGGAATCCAAATCTTTTGTTTGATATGGAAGGATAAAATAAATAATAGGAAATGGTATCCAAAACTGAAGTTTGTTTCACCCCTAAAAAATCGGAAAAGCACATGCAAAGAAAGCTGAGAAGCTGAGTTGGCACCCTCATTTCCAAAAAAAGAGCCCATTTCCGAGCTTTTAGACAGGAATTGGCTGTTCCAAAAAAAGACACTATTTGACAAGGTTTTAGGAAACCATTTCTTAAAAAAAAATGGAACAAACACAGTTTTTGGATTTCTTAAACCACAAAAATGTTGCTTTTTGTTCCAAAAACCGGGTTTTCCAAAAAAACACCCTCAAACAAACACGCCCTTAGTCTCCATTTTGTTTTTTAATTTTTTGGTTGAATATTGCTTCGTGTTGGGATGATTTGAATTTTAGACATCTTGCACGGTAGAAAAAAAGACTATCGCTACGTTATTCTGGCATTTTCACATGGTTTTCCTTTCTATACAAAACTAAGTAGAATACTTTACCATTGTCGTACGTACGTTGAACTTAAAACTTTTTATAATCTATTTTAAACCTTTTATCACAAAGAAGATCTCAAGAGCCTATGCCATAGTTAATATTGGAAGACACATACAGTTAGCATATTGAACCTTTTAAAATATCTTTACAAGAATATTCTACTAATACTGTCCCATGAATAATACAACTTCATTTCTTCTAATATCAAAAAAGAAATCTGTAGTGGCTTGAAATCCTTCCATATTCATATATACAAACAATGCAAATAATATTTTATTTCTACAACGAAGGAATATATAGCTGTATTTTTGGATATTTAAAGGGAGAATGGATCGAGCGGGACCAAGACATACCCTATCTTTGATGCAAAATGAGAGGCCTGAGGAAGCGCGCCTAATGAATGGCTGATTGTTCTCTCACCCTCATTTTCCTTATCCCTTTTTTAAAGTGCGAGAGAGGCGGGCACTGCGTGAGATCAACCTCAAAAAGACCACTTTTTTGCAAGTTGGAGAGATATGGATCCGTGTGTCAACAATCATAAGTAAATGACGATAAAAAAATCTAGTACCTAATATGACCATTAATTTTAGAACTACTCTAATCAAGTTGACTTTCTTATAATTGTACAAATGAATGTGCCCAGTATACTTGTTGCGCACCTTTGCGGAAGCATGCTCGCACACTGAACGAGTCCGTAAGCCACGGAAGAAGATTAACAAACCAAACACGAGCACAATCCAAACAAATACGACAAACCAATCGCAAACACAGAGATATACGTGGTTCGGCAATTTGCCTACATCCACGGGGAGAGGATAGAGAGATTTTACTATATCGAGGAGAGTACAAAAGTATTACAATCACTCAAACACTTGAACAAACCTTAACCAGTGATCTCTCAACTCGCTCACAAGTTCTCCCTCTCAAAGTGCTCAGACTCTCTATTCTCTGATAAACAAAACCCTAAAATCGTGTTTCTATTTATATTAAACAGCAAACCCAGCAAACACAAACAGAATAGGAAACTGAAACCAGACCCAAACCCGACGCGCGGTCGACCGCAGAAGTCTTTGTGATCGACCAGACAGAACAGAAAAAGCACCTTTGAGTTTACAGGGTTCCGCGGTCGACCGCCGAAGTCTTCGCGGTCGACCGGACAAAGATCTAGAAACTATCTTGTACTCGTGCATGTTTCCGGTCGCCCGCACCCTTGGCCCCGGTTGACCGGACAAAAACAAAACATGTCCGACTGTAATTTCCTAAAAATTACTATTGCTCTTCAATTCTCCACCTCGGTAAAGTTTTTCCAAAACTGAGCTGACACAAATACCAACCAAATGTTCCACTTGTTGCGTCCAGTACGAAGTGGAATAAATCCACGACAATGGACTCAATACACAACAAGCCGGGAACCAAATGAGAATGCCAACACCAAACAAAGAGCATCATTACGTCGTCTCTCCAAACTCGGCTGCACCAATGCGGTTGCCTACGTACCCCCTCTCGCAAGGGATCAAGCCGTCCGTAGTTCATCCAAATGACCGTCAATAGCCTCAACAATCACGAATGTGCAGCAAGTTTCGATAATGATCAAACTTGTTGCTCGAAACTAACTTTGTGAGCATATCTGCCGGGTTATCCTTCATGTGGACCTTCACAATTTCCACATCACCATCTTCAAGAATATCCTGAACGAAGTGATAACGAACGTCAACGTGCTTCGTCCTCGCATGAAAAACCTGATTCTTCACTAAATAGATAGCACTCATGCTATTGTAGGCGTCTAAAAATGCCTATAGGTTCCTGAATATGGCTCGAGACGAAGAGGAGGCGATAAATGTCATCATCCAAGTCGAGAAGGTTTATCCGAGCGGCCCGCGTATTCATCGGCCACCGTCAAGTAGCCCGTACGCTTAATGGTCACCGGAACGGCGAACCAAACGTCTTGTGCGCTCACTGACAATTCCGTGCACTCACCACCTAGTTCCAAGCGTCCCACATACTCACCAGCCACCGTCAAACGATCCGCGCGTTCACGAAATGCACGAAGCAAATCGAGGAAGTGTACCGGTCGGCGAAATAACGAAATACACACAAACGACGAAACAAGTCAAACCCAAGAAAGCCTGGCAGTTCGGCCAGAATCAATTTTTTTGGTTCTTTTTATGGATTCTTTCGGGATTTGAGTGTTCCTAGACGTTCCAACTGATCTGATACTATAGTTATACAGTTGTTAACTGAAGATAAAGAGAAATCCATCATTCTCATCCAAATAACCGCATCCGAGACCTATAAATATGAGCCAAAGGCCTTCATTTTATCGATCTAGAAATCAAGAGGACGAGGTGCTGTCAAATTGGAGATTGGAGCACGAATTTTAGAGAGTTAGCAGATCTTAGCGGAGTTCTTCAACAAAGTGAGAGTTCGAGAGATCGGAGACTTATTCCTTATTCCTCCGGATTTAAGCTTAGTCTTAAATCTCGAGAAGAGCCCTGATTTTGCTTAGTCAAAATCACCGCTACTGCAATTACTTCCTTCGTGAAGTGAGTGCATTGATTATCCAACTTCTGCTAACCGGATCTGATCTGTAGACGGTCCATGGATAAACCCCGACACCGGCAACGATCCCGCACAAGCAATAGGCGATAAACATCTATTGCGTGTAGTTTGAGAGAAAGTTATAATTTTTGATTTAAAGTCTTATAAAAAGGCTATATTTTTTTTTGAGTTTATTGTAAGCGTTCAAATTTGTAATGGACTCATCAAAGAAATTAATTTTTTGATCAAACACGCTGGCGACCACAGTGGGAGCCGACAGCCATTCTGTAAAGGCTGATGTGTCCCAATCTCGGATTCTCATCCCGGTTGAAGTAGAGGTCAAATATGAGTTCGACCAGCAGAAGTATGAGGATTATTTGTCCTCCCCATCCAGATCCACCTCTCCTCGCAAGTCAAGGAAGGTTCGCTGGTCTTCGGATTTGAAGACCCAAGAAGATCTCCCCGCACGTCCCGCTGGCATCAGACGAGGCCGACGCTGCAGATCTGAACTCCTTGAGCGAGGAGTTGACTACTGATAATGTGCCCGTTCTATCAAAG